GTCCTGAGCCAAATTCTGTCCTGGGACTTGCCCAGTGAAGCTGTAGGAATTAGTCCAGCCTTGCACATGGGCGCTGGCCTGTGCCCACAAGGAAACATGAACCCACAGCCTTTGAGGCCCACGGGCAGCACAGTGTCATGGGCCACTGAGGAATGGGGTCTGGGAGCTCGAGCGCAAGCCCGGGACACAGAGGATTTCACGGTGGGCAGTCACACATGGCATCGGTAAAGCCCCTCATGACGCGGACGAGGGGCTACCCAACTATGATTTCATTCTCTCTCTGCCAAAATCCATGTCACCACCGGCACAGCAACAGAAACACAGACGCAGGGGTTGCACAAGAGCGCATACAGGTTCTCAGAGAAGAAAAACTACAACGTGGCAGAGGGGTGAGACTAGTTTCAATCAGCCCCCGGGGGTTGCTGGGACCCTCGATCACATTTCTCTTTGCTACGGGATGGAGTCAACCTCGCACAATATTTGTCAAGATACAAAAAAACTAAACACCAGAGAAGACCTGCTTTGGTCTCAGGTTGCCTGAGAAGTTAGGTTGCAGGGTACCCTGGAAAAGTAGGGAGGTGGAGAAAATTCCACTTAGCACAGTGCCTCCCAGAGAGGGGGGTTCTGCGTCTAGGGAGGCGCCTTTGAGAAGCCACATGGGATCTGCATGCCTGAGGACCTAGCTCAGCTGTCCACCAGGGAGGGACCTGTAGGTAAAGACAGCAATCACGCGTGCAAGCCTGGGGCCAGAGCGGAATTGTGGAACTCTACCACCAGGGGGCACCCTCTGGCGCCCTGTGGGACACAGGACCCAGCAACTCCACTGCATCAGTGTGAAATACTATTAGAGTTGCGGGTACATTTTGCAGTGAGGGAAACAGGCACAGAGAAGGGCAGAGACTCCACCCACATTCCTGCAGGCCCCGGAGTTTACTGGGGCAGGAAAGACCTACTCCTGGCTCTGGACACGGACACCCTGGAGGCTGGCAGTCCTCCAGGGATAACGGGGTTTATTTTGAGGCACTTCTCAGAAAACTGGTCCTGTGTCAGCAGGGCCAAGAGGCTGCCTCCCCAATGCCCTGCCCCACCTGTGGGCCCCCAGGGGCAGAGAAGGGCCCTGCCCAATCTGGGCAGTCACCCAGCCCCTCCCACCTCTGGGTTCTGACAGGCCACAGAGCAGGAGCCTGCACTTGGGGCTGTGGGGTCCCTGAGATAGGAAGGGGGATGGAAGCGGGGGGCGGAGAAGAAGGGGAGAGAGAAACAGACATCAAAATAAGGAGACAAAGATCAGAGAGAGACTAAGACCAAGCAAGAGACGGACACAGAGAAAATCATGGTTTGCAAATGGCCAACCTCCCTGGGTAAGAGGAAGAGAAGGCAGAACTCAAGGGGTATAGACATGTGGATTCTGGGCGGGGAGAATCCATCTACCAGTCAGTCATTCTCTCCCTCCATCCCTCTTCTATTCAACAGTCCCTCGCGGGGGCAGACTGTTACCAGGATGAAGGAAGACGAGGTTGCCGAGAAAGTGAAGGACAGAGAAAATTCCAGGCAGCCCATCAGAAGTGGGAGGGCCCTGGGGGTCTCCCCCCAACACGAGTTTGTTCCAGAGGAAGAAATCGAAGGTTCAAGGGGCAGGGGACAGACCCCCAGTTATCCAGCTAGTTAGAGGCAGGGAGGAAGGAGGAAACTCCAAAAGTTGCCAACCAACAAAAGTCCGTGGAGGCTCCGCTCATCATACAGAAACCACCCGCTCTGGGCCCATCCCTTCTAATCAATGGCCTCTTAAATGTCCCTTCCACTGTGCCCTTCTCCCCACCACTGTCTCTGCAGCCGAAACGTCCCATCCAAACTCTGGCCAGAGAGGTATTTCACACATGTGCATCTTAGCACAGACCACCCTGCCTCCAACCCCTCTTCACCCCACTCCCTGCACGAGCCTGTGGCCCCAGGATAATGTGCACTGTCCTCAGAGGGCTTGCACGGGCTTTGCCTGTCCGGTCCCGGCTGCCCTTCCTGCACCCCCCCCGGCCCTCCCCCTTTCCAGCACCACCAGACTATTTGATTCACCAATCACAAGGTCTCCTCTTCCGGCTGTTCCTCACATGTCTGCCCACCCCCGTGGCTTCTGCCCGGGACTCCCTCCTCTCCTTTCGGGTGAGTCCTGTCCACCTTCTGCACATACAACCCCCACCCAAGACTGAATCACAAACTCTGTAAGCACGCATCCCAGAGCCGGGCCCATAATGATCAGCATTAGTAACAGTGACATGACATTTACAACAATAAGGGCCCTACTACAAGGAAGGAGAGCCCTGCATACAAGGGAGAAAAGCAGGAAGACGTCGAAGTCGGCCAGAGACGCTGCAAAGGGGGATGTGACCCGCAGCTTGGGGAGGTTTCCAGGCAGAAGAGCTGGGAGGGGGGTGGGGCCCGAGGTCCCAGGGAGAGGAAACCCACGTGCAAATGGCTGGTGTGTTTTCCACCTGCGAACTCATCATACCTGGGGTCTGATGTGTGAAAGGGGCAGCAGACTGGCCCCCCAGTGGGGGCAAATCCACTCCCCCCCCCC